TTAATCTGACATAGTAAAAGAGAATCCAATGACCTCAGAACCAACAGACATAGCAACAACACGCATGTCCAACAAAACTTAATTCATCTGCCTTTTGTTCTTTTTACAGTGAAAAATGACTGGAAGGAACCAGCACAATGGTTTCCAGTTTGCAACCACAGTGCAGCCACCCACAGGTAGTTACATGTCCGCTTTTGGAAACAACTCAGAGACTGACTACTCGGAGGAGGACGGAGAGACCTTTGAGCTGCGGTCCAGAGGCAAGGAGAGGCATCGCAGGAGCACATCTACAGATTGCAAGGATGATTTTGTCTACTTGATAAGGGACATAAAAGACGGAGATACGCTGATCAGTATTTCTCTGCAATATTTCTGTACTGTAAGTAAGAGTTCCCTTGTTGTACTCTTTCTTTTTCTGCTTCAGTATGTTTGTAGAAATGTGACTGGTATGATCAAAATCTTATGTAAATATAAAGAATATTGTTGTGTCAAATTATGCTTGAAATCTAGAATTATACTTGTATCTAGAAATACAATCTAAATGTATAAAGTCCCCCTGCAGTCACTAATTTTGTCCCTTAAAACTCACATTTGATAATCAAAATTACATACTTGAATGTTTTTTTTTTCCCCCATGAAAGTAATTTATTTGTGTCCTAAAATGGCTTGGTTGTAACTCTACACCCTTACCTCATTGAACATAGGTGCATCTATGAATATGGAAATGATTTCCTGCCTCCATTCATTTTCACCAGCTCGAACCTTCTCCACTTTCCCTTAGTTAGCAGAAGTAAATGCTGTGGTAAAAGCTACACAATGGCAGTGGCAATCTTGGATTAATAGTTATCGCTATGGCATTCATTGCCATTTTGAGAATGAATCCATGTGTGAATGTATTCAAATTATAGCCTAGAAAGTGAGCAAAGAGCACTCCCTAATAATCACAGTAAAGCTGTCACTCATCTTAGTTCATTGCGATCTCACAAAGTTATATTCAGTAACTGCACAATTAATCTCTTATTTACATTGTGTCTACACCTTGTTTGTTATACTCTGCAATGGTGTTGACTGATGAATTTGCATATGGTCTTGGTTTATATTGAAATCATCCAACATTTTTCTTTACAAATCCTCAGTTTGTACTAACACACTTCTAGCCACTACTATGGCAGATCTTTGACTTTCCAACTGACCGTCAAGCCATGCTGCAAAAAAGCCACTTTTATGAGGATTGTGGGCTTTCCTCGAGTTGTTGGAGCTGTTGATGGAACTCATGTTCACATCAGTGCTCCAACTGCAAACGAGTAGACATACCAATAGAAAACAATTTCTAGCATCAGTAACCATTTGTGATAATTTTGCACAATGCAAAGCATTTTATAAAAATACATTAAATATTAAAATATTTCAGTGTCTTAAATTATTTTATTGTAGTTACATTAAATGATTAGTGTTGTGCTGCTGTGACTTCACATGAGCAGGCTCACTATTGGCGGTTTCAGAGGTCGAGGGCAGCCATTTTGGTTTGACATCATTGTAGCCCTTAGTTTGCAAAACTTAATTGTTACCTCAGTCAACACTTAAGAATCAGTCTTAGGCTGATGATACACGGGGCAACTTTTTGAGCAATGTTGCCGTCAACGGGCAACCAGGTGAGACAGGGCCCACGACTGATCTAAAGTATCCAGATAGAGCAATATTTCTTGGGCACTTTTCCATTGAGAATGGGTAACAAATTTCTATCTGAATATTATAGATTGGTCGTGGGCCCTCTGTCTCACCTGGTTGCCCGTTGATGGCAGCATTGCTCAAAAAGTTGCCCCGTGTATCATCAGCCTTCGACGTTACTAAAAGTTGCTTTTAGCTTCTTTATAAAGGTCTCCTACTCTTAGAAAAGTCCTACTTGTAACTAAGAATTTTTTGATACTTGAGTCAAAACTTAAGACTATTCTTAAGAGCATTTCTGATCAATTTTATGCATATGGCCCCAGATAGACAACATTAAAAACTTTATTTGGTTGATTTTCTTCACAGGGGTTCTTTAAAAGTAAGTATTAAATGAAAATTCACCCAATATGTATTCTAAATGCATGTTATAAGTCTTATTGTGAGCTATACACTACTTACATTTTATCATGAATTTCATTTTATAATTTTATCATGACATGACAAAAAGTCTCAAAACAAAAAATATTATACAATGGATAGTTCCCACTCTAAATTCTGATTGAATGAGCCACATTAAAAGCTGATGTAAAATATATGTTGTAGACATTCCTGTGACGGGCCACAAGTTGAATTCTACATTAACGTCACATTATGATGTTGCCTTGCTGCTGTAAACAAATTTCTGCTTCACATTACACCTCATAATAACAAGTTCTTCCTGATCTTGTTTGGGACACATCTAGCTCTGTTTTTCCCCATTACTCCATGTTTCTTAGTTCTGACATGTAAAAACGCAAAGCAGTCCTGCCCCCACATAGCTACCCAAATATATCTAATGTTTGTAAGGTTGTTGTCAGGGCTTGAACTGATTGTGCTGATTTTCATTCTTGTTCTGATCTTCATTCTTCTCATCTCAGGTTGCAGACATAAAGCGGGCCAACAATCTTCTAACTGAGCAGGACTTCTTTGCACTGCGGTCCATAAGGATCCCTGTGAGAAAGTTTAGCTCATTCACAGAAACTCACAACACTGCTCCCCATAAAAGCAGCTCACCCAGTGGTACTCGCAGAATCTCTGAGATCCCGATTTCTGGAGCTTCCTTGGACTCTTCATCCTCTTCCTCATCTGTGGACAGCGTGGAGTGCTTCCTGCAGGAGAAGGACAAGGACATTCAACTTCTCGTCAAGTTATCTGCCCCTTCCAGGAGCAGCCTGAGCGAGGTTGTGTCCTCACTGGAGCAGCCGCTTTTGGGAGATCCCGAGCGCAGACCAGCCCAAAAGAAAGACCCATACTATGGTGCTGACTGGGGAATGAGATGGTGGACTGCAGTTGCCATCATGTTGGTTGTGGGCATTGTTACACCTGTTTTTTACCTGTTGTACTATGAAGTTTTGATGAAAGCAGATGTTAGCCACCATACTACCATTGACTCTATCAGCCTAGGACCAACACAGCCAGCTGCTGCTGTGTTTGGGTTACCTGCCTCTCACCAAGACCCTCACCTACAGTCTGCTGCTAAACAGCAACATTTTGTGAGGCATGAAGAGAAAGCATAAAGGGGCTTTTAAATCACCAGGGAATTAATTTGGAGGCATTAATGGAAGGTATAAGCAGAACCACATTTTAAAAACGATTAACAATGCGTGTGAGGATCGAGTAATCAAGAAATGATTCCAATCCTGTCAGCTTTTTCTTTGATGCATTTTGCACAGTTGATTGCTGGTTTTGTTGTGTGTGTCACTCATGAGCCAGTGTATATCTCTGTACCTCTATTAAGCTTGTAGTTTGCATTAATGGCAAACAGCTGCCACCATCTGGTTGTCAGGGAAATAAACACGGTAATTTATTTTAGAAAATGTACAATCCAGATTCAGTATTGCAACTGATAGTAATACAATTTCTGGTTTTAATTTGTAAACTTTGCTTGTAAAAAAGAAAAACAAAACTTAATGGAAGGATAATGGCTTCCTGTTTTTTTTTTCCTTCTAGCAAGAACACAGGGATGATTTGTAAAATATTCTCAAACATGTTCAATTCCATTTAAGTAGCAAAGATGTAAGCATTTCTTTGAAACATGGAGTACAGTGATTATGTGCCTTCATCCTGTAGATGCAGGTTGAAAATAAAGGAATTATATTTTAATATCTGAATCTCTTAATTATTTTTAACCTTTTAATTTTATCATCATTTAGCTTAAATGATACCAGTTTAGACAATTATCTATATAATTACACTGAATCTTATTTTTATACCTATAAAACACTGTGCTCTTTGAAGACATTAAGTGTATGAACTAAAATTTTGTGCTTTTATATTGTACATGCATATTAGTAACCATAGTAACTTGCTCTCTGAAGATAACCTGCTCCGGAGCAGTGTGACCTACTGATGAGCCTTCAGAGGGCGTGACAGATAGCGCACAACATTATTTAATATTACATTATGTAATATAGCCTATTTATTTATATATATATATATGTGTATGATATGTTAATGATGAAGCCCTAATATAAGTAATAAATTAGGTAATATCTTATTCTAATATTGTTATTATATTTATTTTATTGCCATATACAACAGTTATCTGTATAAATTATAAAACACTATGACAAGGTAATGTTTAATGTATTATATATATTTATTACATTTTATATTATCATCTCACACATGGATCTACATTTTCTATAATGTCTAAATTCTAAATCAAAATACATATCTGATATGACTTAATATATAATTAGCATCAAACAAACAATATTATTGATATTCTCAAGGATTAAAGATTAAACGAAAAAAAAAAAAATGATTGCACAACCATCAATTAGGTGGCGATATGCACTAAGCATGTAAACGACCATTGAACAAAAGAAGAAAGAAACAGCATGGCACGCTTTTTCTTAGCGTCCGTTTCCATAGTGACTCGTCAATTCGTTGCTCTGTTGAGAATGTCTTGAGTCTTAACCAGGAACATACTCTGAGTTGAATGAACCTACTCCCGGACGCGTTTTTGGAACCACATACCTTGATTAGGCAAGGTTTGGGGTTAATCAACCGAAAGTTCAGGGTTTAGCTGATGGTAAGTTAACCGTGCTTTCTGGAATACACCCCTGAATGGCAGGTGCATAGGATATAAATATTAGTAAATAAATTGGACAATATGTTTCCATTGGTAGAAAGCGGCTTATAGCTTTGCACAGACACATTTGGTAGTGATGTCACACCAGTCTCATGCTTAAGCATGCAGTGTTATAGTTAGACTAAAATTTATATAAAAAATGTACATTTCTGTGGTAATGTACAACATGCTACAGATGCGGTTGATGAAGAATTATTTAACTTGAAATATTGCTATTAGTAAAAGCTTTTACCTCTTCAAGCTCTTCATCAAATTCTCCTTCAATTTCTTCTTCCTCCCCTTCCTCATCAACTGCTTTCTTCTCTCCCTTTGCTTCATCCTCCTCATCTGATTTTACATCTCCCTTCTTCTCAAGTTGCTGAAAAACAAGCACGAGACAACGGCACAATTCAAAAAAATATATCTGTTTGCAGTAAATCAAGAAGATGAAAAAACATGTATAATGCAGTTCATTATAAGTTCATTTACGTTTAGTAGGTGATGACCTATAACGTGTACCCACATCAAGTTTACTTAGCAATTCCTCCTTGTCCTTACTTGAGATCTTTGCATTTTTCTTAGTATCTGTAAATATTCAAATTATTTACAGGTTATTCAAAAATGCGGTTTGTTTAAAGAGGGATTCTGCATTTTGTGAAATTACCTATTTTCCTCCTAATTATCTTCTTTTGTGGCTTCAGCTCCTTTGGAAGACGGTTCCAATCTACAAAGCAAGTCTATAATTTGGCTGAAATCAACCAATGTAAATGGTACTCAAGTGATTCCTGTAATACCTGGTGTCCAGATGTCATCTTCAATTCTTTTAATTTCTCTTGTGTATTTTTCCTTGTACTTCTCCACATCTGTGAATTATACTGGTGAGTACACTGGCAAACACTTTAAAGCAGGAGATCAATTTCTTTTAACTTCTAAATTTTTGACTTTTCTTGCTTTAACAACACTGTAAAAAATAAATAATAATAATAATAAAACAATCAAATAACAATAGCAACTATGTTCAAGGTTAAACTATCCCTAATCAGTTATACTATTTCACTTAAACATAGGGTTAAATAGATTTAATGTCTGAAGGGCAGTGCTAAAACACAACATTGCCCTCTGTGCTCTTACACATAGTCATCTACTTTTACAATATGATAATCTCAGAATTCCTAAGTTTCCTAGTAGGATGCAATAGGTATTTATATGTTACCAAAATTAAATAAAGGCTACCACTCACCTCCCTTTCCTGCATGGAGTTTTATGTTAAATGGGAGGTCTTTCATTCGTCCTCTCATCTCTTGTTTCAAAGCTCTCATATAGTCTTCATCCTCTCCAGCTTTCAAAGGCCCTGGTTTATATTCAATTTGCTGAAAAAGCAAGGTGGTGTAATGCATTTGTCTAAAACTGGCACAATATAAAACAGTCAGGGCTTTCTGGATAATAACTACCAAACGTAACTGAAGCAGATTTTAAAGTTCAGAGGGGAAAATAATAATAATAATAATAATAA